GTTGCGTGGTGCTGAGACAGGAATCATCTGGCTTGTTTTCTCCAGCGCTCACGGGGCCGAGCAAGGAGATCTCCGGGGGGGGGGCTGAAGGAGGCTTGAAGCGGAGGGGCCAAATCCCTTCCTCTCCCCTCCCCACCAATAACAGGAATGCAATTGTCCCTGGGGGAGGAAGCCGACTTACCCTCTTGCTCCTCGTTCTGCAGCAGAATGAGGCTGAGCAGAGGGCGGCCGAAAGAAGGGGGGCTTCGACATGTGACCGCCCTGCCCCCGTACCTCTGTCCCAGAGCGACCTACCGTCGTGAGGCCTGGCCAGGGGAGGGAGGCCCAGTGCCTACAAGAGCCACAGTCAAGGGGCCAAAAAGCCGTATGTGGCTCGGGAGCCGCAGTTTGCCGACCACTGCCCCAGATAATAGCACTAAACCACAATGAAATCAAATGCAAATAAACTATCATGATATTGGTAGTAAACAGTGACTGCCACATGGATGTTAAAGTAGCAAAAGTACCAATTACAGACAAGGTATGGATCTTTATGTATGCAGAAAAAATATGGTTTTGTAAATTAACAAAAGTAAAACATTTCAAAAGTTTGTTTAGATGAAGGAGGAGAAGAAGAGATTGGATTTATACCCTGCCCTTCACTTGGAGTCTCAGAGTGGCTTACAAACTCCTTTTCCTTCCCCTCCCCACAACAGACACCCTGTGAGGTGGGTGGGGCTGAGAGAACTCTGACACAAACTGCTCTTTCAGGAACAGCTGTGCCACAGCTTGTGACTGACCCAAGGTCACATCAGCAGGTGCAAGTGGAGGAGTGGGGAATCAAACCCGGTTCTCCCAGATTAGAGTCCGCACACTTAACCACTACACCAAACTGGCTCTCCAGTGAGGGAGATAAAATAGTTTAGTCAGGAAGGCAAAGCTACAGTCATGAAAACTTTAATACATAGTTATTAATAGATTTGAGGAACATGGGTCACAAATGTGTCTGAATGCTGTGACTTGCTAGATACACAAGGGGATATATTCTCACACTATTAATAAAATTCTTGCTAGCTGGTCTGTGCAACAGATACAGTTGCTTCTGAAATGGTAAGCATGAAGTGCTTCATCCCAGGAACAGACTGAAGAGGTGGCTTGTGAACTGAATTTTCTTCCATTTAGTATATTAGTGAGAGGGCTATGCTAGAATCCTTCTTCCCATTATGTAATTTTCTGGATTTTTGTTTAAATGAAAGAGC